CACCAGCGCCAGCCTCGCCCTGGGCAGAGGCAGAGGGCAGGGGGCTGGGGGTGGAGCCGGCCAGACCCACCAGCCACAGCTGCACTTCCCTGACATTGGTCTCAGGTTCATTTTTTTTCCCCTCCAACTTTATATATCACAAAAATTATCTGGCTGCCAGATAACATCTCCCAGATGTTCTCACACCAGGACCACATATTCCAATTTTGGGTTGGGAATATATGGCCCATGGCTGTAAGACTGTTACACTAGGGCACTTTGCCCATTTCCGGAAAAAGAGCAAAGGTGTCAAATGGGACATGGAAGACATGAGACTTTAAAGGCAGGCTCAAGGCCAATATGGCCAAGCATCTTCTTTGGTTCTGGAGTGTGGAGGCTGGGGGAGCCCCTGATCGAGAGTGGGATGAGACTTGGGGGTGAGGAGACAATCAGGGGCTCACCCAAGTACCCCTGAATCTCTCTCCTCCTCCCTCCGACAAAGGAACAGAAAGATGTTGACACCACTTCCGGCATGGAAGGAGATCCATGTTTGCTTTCCCCAGTTCAGCATAAATTAACATCCCTACTATACAAAACACACCATCCTGCTCTCACCCTATGGTGGTCAGTCCCAGAAGCCCCTGCCACAGCCTAAGCGGTTACACACCACCGTGATCTGTTTCCATCCACGAAGCAGCTTCATGCAGTACCTTTCCAGCCGTCCCTCCTGGGGCAGGTCAGGGCTTCCAAAGGGGTGACAGTGAGGGCAAAACAGCCCTGGGTCACCGAGGGACAGGCCTGTGCCTCAGCACACGGACTGACAAGCTCTCCGCGTGGGCCAGGAGCTCCTGAATGTGAGCCAAGCCCAGCCCGGCAACCTTGCCCCCATTCACCTCGAGGATCTCATCCCCTACCCCCAGCAGCCCCGAGTAGAGCTTGGCCATGCTCGCGTCAGCCATCTCCTGCACGTAGAACCCTGCAAAGGAAAACAGAACAAGTAAACACATGAAATCCAGAGATGCAGCTCTGTGGAATGTTGACCAGGTGGTGTTTCGGGCAGGGGTCGGGGAGCGGGTGCTCATATAGGGCACTGCTCCATGCGTGTGCGTGCACACCCAAACACACACACCCTCATTATCCTACCTCAGAACCACAACGGGCTTTCTATATAGATACAGTGTGCCCGCCCTCATGGTATCATTTCATTTCTCTGTCTCTTTTTAAAAAGCGGGGCGCCCGGGTGGTTCAGTCGGTTAAGCAGCTGCCTTCGGCTCGGGTCATGATCTCAGCGTCCCGGGATCGAGCCCCGCATCGGGCTCCCAGCTTGGTGGAGAGTCTGCTTCTCCCTCTCCCTCTGCCTTCCTCTCTGCCTACTTGTGCTCTCTATCTCTCTCAAATAAATAAATAAAATCTTTAAAAATAAAAATAAAAAGCTGTGCAAATAATGCTTTAATATAATAATGCTTTAAGCAAATAATGCTTGTTATTTATTATTATTCGTGTATACCCCTGTGTGAATGAGGTGATCTTATCTTTTTCTGAGATGAGCTTTGATTGTAGAATAGGAAGGAAACCGATGTTTAAAAATTAAGAAAAAAAGCCTACTTCATGCCATCCCACTGGGTGGGATTCACAAATATGATCCAGTTGCTGCCTTCAAGAAGCTGGAGTGGTGGGAAGGTATCATTGGAGTAATGAACATGGCTGAGGTCAAATCCAAACCTGGTTTGCTCCATATTACTGTTAGGACCAGCCCTGGCCTCAATCTTCATCAGAGGTGGTTCCTCACTGGGATTTGGAGGCACCTGGGCAAAAGCCCAGGAACAAAAATTCCACCCCCATTTAAAGCCATGGTGGCTCACTTGTCCCTTATTCACACACATCTTGTCCCCCACACTGCCCCTAGGAAGGCCCTGCCTGGCCAGTGTGACCGTCTCCTGGGTCTCTCAGGTGCAGCATGAGCCTGGGCAGAGCCTGCTTCTTCCCCTTTCCCTGGGTCCGACTTGGGGAACCCACATCAGTGGAGCAGGCTCTATGGGGCCTGGGGGCTGGCTAGCCTGAGTTCCCCGGGACTTTCCTGGCCGCACAGCACAGGCAAGTCCTGCTGAGGGACCCCTCTCACCTCAACTTCTTCGGAAAACCTTCCAGACTCCCCTTCAGTTAAGAGAATAAAGGGTCTTAGAGGGAAAGCTGGGCACCACCCCACGCCGCCCTACCCCAACTGAGCGAACACAGGTGATCTGAGAGCACAAGGCCAGGGTGTGGTCAGTATGCAGCTGACAACACCTGCAGAATTCAGGGGGGCCGCTCAGCGCCACCTTAAACGCCCCCCCAGCTCCCCAGCCCAGGCTGCAAACTCCTTCCTCTCTACTTCTGCGTCCTAGAATCAGCTTCCTTAGAAAGGGCCTGAGAAGGCCTCTCCTCTGGTATCACGGTCTCGAGCCTGAAGGCATTTAACACACTTGGACTATAGTGGGACATCCTGCCTCTGCTGCCCCCAGCCCACAGGAGCTTTGTTCAGCCCAGCTTGTGGCAAGCCTTCCAGAGCAACCCTCTGAAATGGGGGTTTGAAAGCACTGAAATCTCCTTCAAGGCACCTGAAGGTTGGAGCTCTGAGTCTAGCAAAACCAACCTCCTGACACACTCCCTCTCTCGGGTCTGACTGTGGAACTCTCTCTCGGTGTGGGGGGATTCTTGGCCAAGCCGAGCCTTTGCCACCAGGCTGCCTCCCTCCTCATGAGGTATGCCGGCCATCTCAGCTGCTCGAGCAATGCCTTTCTCGCAGCCCCTGCCCTATCTCCAACTCCTTCTGTCCAGGTGTTCTAAGCACTTGCCTGCCCCGTCTGCATGTTGCTGGCATGGAGAGAGGGCAGGAAAGGAGGGGAGGGGTGGTGCCTACAGAAACGGCTGTTGTAAGCAGGACATGCATGTGGGGAGCTGTGAGAAACCCCAAAAGCATGGAGCCAGAGCCAGACCAGACACTGATGTTGTGCCAGTCATTCTGGGGGAGACACTGGGGTAGGCTTCACAACGGAACGTCGTGACAAAAATATGACAGACAGACTGCTGTTGTTGGTATTTACTGTCTGCTGGAAATGGCCTCTGTTCAGCATGGATCATCTCTATGTGGTGCTCAGAAGCCAGAGGCGAAGCTTGCTGTTCTCATATGCTTGCATAGCATCCTATGTGACAGCCAGCAAGTTAGCCCCAGCACCTGGACGTTTTAGCAAGGAATGCAGACCAGCCCCAGCTCACGGCCCCTCTGAGGCCCAGCAGGAGTGACCTGTGGCTGTCAGAGGAGGCTCTGTGGCCAGGAGGCACCAGCACCAGTCACGTTCCATGTGCCTGGGGATCTCTGCGAGATAGCCAATGGCCAACAGCGGCAGCAGGAGCAGGGCACCCCCCGGGCAGGACAGGGCAGAGCTCGTACCAACCTAGGTGAGGGCTGCCATGCGGGGGCGGTCAGGGCAGAGCCCAAGGAGCTCTTGGTCATTAGAGACCTCTGCCCATCAGACATCAACTCTGTGACTGTCTGCAAAGCGGCCTAGCAGGACTTTGGGGGAAGATGAAGGGCAGAGCACAATGCCCGGTTGTGTGTGACCTCACGTGGACAGATGGTGCAGATCATGGTGGCCCCTGTCGGAGTTCTGTTCCCCAAATACAAATTCTCTTTGTGAAGAGGGAAGGGAAGAAAAGTGCCAGGCACTTTCCCCTGTACCTCACTGGACGCTCCTTATGACTCTTCCAGGCAGGTTTGAGTATCTTCAGTTTAGAGATGAGAGAATGGAGGCTCAGAGAGGGTAAGTGACCTGCTCAGGTCACATAGCCAGCAGAGGCTCTGGAGTACAAACCATGCCATGTCACCTAACTCTGTGCCTCTCTGGGAGGCCTGCCGCCCCTCACCTGAGGAACGGGGAGGCTAAAGGAAAAGGTGGAGTAGCTAACAGCCTGCTAGTCCTTTATGATGATCAGTATAAGTTCAAACACAAACACCACCTCCCTGTGAGGACAGACCCATACCCCCCGGAGGTCCAGAGTGGGGAGAAACTCGGCCTGTTCCTCTCACGCTCAGATCAAACCCTCCACAAACTGCGTCAAACGGCCTTCAAGTCAAGCTGACTGCAAGCACTTCTCACATCCCCACTGGCTCCCCAGCCCGAGCCACCACCGGCAAGTCTTTCCACGGAAATAGCTTTACAAAGGGTCTCCCTGGTCCACCTTCGACCTGCTAGCGTCTGTTCACGGTCGGGCAGCCAGCCAGGCAGCGACACCCGTTGCAAGTGCAAATCAGAGCACATCGGTCCCCGCTCCAAGCCCCTGCCGCCTCCCAGCTCAGGGGGTGAGGAAGCCACCGCCCTCCTGAGCTCAGCGCCCTCTCTCCCCACTGCTGCTCTGTGCAGACCCACCCTGCAGGTCTTCTGACAGCCAAGCTCATTCCCACCCTCCAGCCTGGGCCTAGACTGCTCTTTCTCCAGACACCTCCACCCAGAAGAGCTGCCCCACCTGCACTCCCGGCCTCCCACTCCCAGGCCCTCACCCTGCTTCGCTTGGATTCGTGTCTTCATACCCTCTGCTATCTGGTACCTTATTTGGATAATATATAAAAACGTATACCTTTTTGTAGGTACAGCCTATCTCCCTCCCTGGACTGTGGGCTCCTGAGGACAGGGTCTTTTTCTGTTCCATTTCCTGCTGTAGAGCCGGTATCTAAAACACCTAGTAGGTGCTAAATGCAAACTTGTTGAAACAATGAACTACGGAACAGAGGTAAGAACTTGCTGCAGGCTCCAAACCTGGCAGCAGGCAGATTTTTTTTTTTTCCAGGTTACATGACTTTGACCTAGGAGATCACAGCCCAGGACTGAACCCTGCTCGGCAGAGGGCAGCCAGGGCAGGATCCCCAGAACATCACCCCCTGGAGCCAGCGCTGTGAGAGGGAGCCGGACGCATAGCCAGGCGGGCTCACTGCACATGGCCAGACAGCAGCCGGAGGAAGGGAACCATTATACGCACCAGCCGCATCAAAGGGCTCCCGAGAACCAGCAAGCACAACCTCCCCTGGGCGCTCCAGCGAAAAGGCAGCCTGATTCCGACTTCAGGATGTCAGCAGACAACAGAGGGGCAGTGGAGTCAGGCTCACCAACCCTACCCACTCCAGCAGCCCCACACCTGACGCTTCCCAAAGAGCCCCTGAGGGAGAATTCCAGTCCTTTCATGAGGCTGTCTGAGTCTGGAGCTCCGCGTCTCAGCCACAGACTGGAAATGCCCACAGCCAAAAGTGGTTTGCTAAGGCCCCAGGGATATGGAGCCCAGAAAAGGGGAGGGGGCATACCTGAGTCCCGGCGCCCATTCCCGGAGGCCACGCAAAAGCCGAAAGAGCCCTCCGGGGACCGTTGTAGCTGCAGCTGGGTTGTGCCATCTGGGAACACCTCCACCACGCGGCCCACCGTGCGCGCCTGGCTGGGAGAGCTCACGTCCTCCACACTGAGGGCACGTCGGGGTGAGGCCTTGGTTGGTCTGCCAGGGGGGCCGGAGACAGAGTAAGTGCAAAGAGGGCTGGGCACCCGGGCCCAATCACTCCCTGCCTTAAAGATGACAGATACCTCTTGACTGGTTCCAACCAGCAAAAACAACATGCTGGGAACAAGACTGGAGGGTTGTCACAGTGGTCTGAGGCTCCACAAAGCCTGGTGCAGGACCAGAAGCCCCCTGCTACCCATCCCCCAACCTAGAAACACAATTTTAAACCTTTGTGGGTGCAGAGACCTCTCTGAGAATCTAACCAAAGCTATGATATTAGATAACATTTCCAGGAGTGAACAGGCCACTTGAGGTGCCTCCATGGAGCCCTAGGTAAGAGTAGCTAGCCTAGAGGGTCTCGTCAGGGGGTGGGAGTTCTCTAGACAGGGTCACAGGTCAAGTGCCTCTTTGGGGGCCCTATCTCTGGATCTCTAATCAGATCTTCAGCTGGGCTAAGGAAGCTCTCTGAACATCCTGATTTTAGGATGTCATCAGACAGCAGAAGGAGGGAAGAATCAAACCTTCCAACTCTACCCATTCCACCAACACCACACCTTCTCAGAGCTCAGGTGCATGGGGCAAGGCACTGAGATGTGGGCTCCAAGACTCCTGTGGCACCCGAGGCAGGACGGAGTCAGGCTTACAGCTCCACCGCCCATGTTGAGTTTACCCCCCACACCACTTGCCAACTCTTACCGTCCAAGTGCACTGTGGTCCCCCGGCTCCCCTACCATGTAGAGGCTGGACCGGTCCCCCTTGCCATTCAGCAGAGAGTGGAGGTTCTGAAAGGAGGCAGCTTTCCGATGTTGGTGAGATGGTGACACCTGGTGGTAAGGATTCAATATTGCAGGTGAGAAAAGCCACAACGCAGGGGGTGGAGACCTGACCCTAACCAGGAGCCTGAGGGCTTTTTTTTTCTTTTTAAGATTTTATTTATTTATTTGACAGAGAGAGAGCACAAGTAGGCAGAGAGGCAGACAGTGGGAGAAGCAGGCTCCCCGCAGAGCAGAGAGCCCGATGTGGAGCTCCATCCCAGGACCCTGGGACCATGACCAGGGCTGAAGGCAGACACTCAACCGACTGAGCCACCCAGGTGCCCCAAGCCTGAGAGCTTTTTAAGAAAGTAATGATACAAGCTTGTGTCACTACTGCAAAGTGCCCATCAGGAATCACCATAATTTACTCAAGTAGACAGTCCTATAGAGGTGATCTGAAGGTTCGTTTTTGGCTAAAATAACTTAGCACTAGAATACTAATAATTTCATTGATTAAGAAAATCTAATGTTCTCATTAAGACAAAAGTGAAAGCAAATTAATTACAGAGTAACAAATACGATTTTAGAGTTAAAATATTAAAACTTCATGATTCTTTAGTATCCCTTTTATGATTGTTTATATTAAAAATTTTTATCTGAGGACTTCCAGAAAAGATGGCTGAGTACAACAATCCCAAGCTCACTTCGTCCCATGGATACAATTAGATAACATGCATATCAGTGTAAATAAGCCATAAAACAATCCAAAGACTGGCAGAACAGACTCTTTACAGCTGAATGTATCGAAGAGGGTAGGAGGTGTGGAGATTCGCTCGGGAGCTAAATGAACCTGCAGGACCATCAGAGGGAGGGAGGGACACTGGGTGCAGAGAAAGGAGGAGAGGAGGGGACCAGACCCTCACACCAGGCATACCAGACATGACGAACCTGCACAGGGAAGCTGAATCCTCATAACATTCAGCTTTGAAAACCAGAGAGGCCTAATTTCAGGAGTTCTTAAAATCAGTGGGGCTTAACACTGGAACTTTAAAAATCAGTGGGCTTGGCTGTGGGAGCCCTGGGAAGATGATAGGAAACTGAGTCCCTGCCCTTAAAAAGACGGCACAGCAAAGAGCCCCACTGAGATGCAGCAGAGAGAAGCAGCAGTTTGGAAAACACCTGGGGTATATGGGAGGGAGATTTGTTTACTAATCTCAGAGTCTGCACTGGAAGGGCAGGGATCTTTGGGAGACTTCTCTAGGAACAAAGATGCTGGCAGGCACCATTTCCCTCCCCTGCCCCCCAGCCTAGGCACATGGACAGCTGGGGGAACCAGCACAGTACCAACACTCTCCACCTAACTTGCTAACAGCACGGCATACCCCCTCGTTCTCCTGTGCACATGCCCCCTCCGATATGCCCTTGGCCAGAGCCCATTCAAAGTGGTGCCATAAGTCTGGCAGTGTGCAAAGCAGCCATGACAGTGACTCCTGCCCTGGGGAGAGGGGAAGATAACCATACATACCAGCCTGAGACCGTGGCCCCAGCAGTCCCACCAACAAAAGCTTCTCATGGGGCAACACCGAGAAAGCGCCCTATAGTTCAATACTACTGCATCTCTGGCAAATGCCTGGTCTGACTCAACTCAAGTCTAAGGCAGCCCAACAGTGGCTCACTAACACCACAGGGACCAAACACTGCCCACAACAGGCAAAGAGAGCCATTGCAGACGACTGGACTGAAGGCAAAAGCAGCTCAGCCACAATAGGGCACACGCAACACACATAGGAGACACCTCTGAAGCACCAGGTTCTGATGAACAGGGGACACAGCACTGCAGGGCACTACAGGACCTCTTGTTCATAAGGCCACTACTTTCAAGAGCAGGAGACATAGCTGACTTTCCTAACACAAAGAAACAGACACAAAGTTCGTCAAAATGAGGAGACAGAGAAATATGAAATGAAAGAAATATGAAATCAAATGAAAGAACGGGACAAAATCACAGCAAGAGAGCTAAATGAAACGGAGATAAGTAATATGCCTGATGGAGAATTTAAAGTAATGGTCAGGGATGCCTGGGTGGCTCAGATGGTTAAGTGTCTGACTCTTGATTTCAGCTCAGGTCATGATCTCCAGGTTGTGAAATCGAGCCCAGCATCAGGCTTCACACTGGGCATGGAGCCTGCTTATAATTCTCTCTCTCCCTCTCCCTCTATCTCTCCTGTCCCCTTTCTCTCTCCCTCTCCAATAATAATAATAATAATAATAGTAATAAATAAAGCAATAGTCATAAAGATATTCACTGGACTTGAGAAAAGAGTGGAGGACCTCAGTGAGACCCTTACCAAAGAGATAGAAAACATAAAAAAGAACTACTCAGAGATAAAGAATTCAATAACTGAAATTAAAAATACACTAGATGGAATAAATAGTAGACTAGAGGAATCAGAAGAATGGGTCTGTGACCTGGAGGATAGAGTAATGGACAGCAATCAAGCTGAACAGCAGAGAGAAAAAATAATAATAGGGGCGCCTGGGTGGCTCAGATGGTTAAGCGTCTGCCTTTGGCTCAGGTCATGATCCCAGGGTCCTGGGATCGAGTCCCGCATCGGGCTCCCTGCTCCTTGGGAGCCTGCTTCTCCCTCTGCTTCTCTCTCTCTCTCCCTCTCTCTCTCCGTCTCTCATGAATAAATAAATAAAATCTTTAAAAAAAATAATAATAATAAAAAATGAAAATAGACTTAGGGAACTGTGACACCATCAACCATAATATCATTCTCATTACGGGGATCCCTGATGGGGAAGAGAGAAAAAAGGAGGCAGAAAACTTTCCGAATCTGGGGAAAGAAACAGAGATCCAGAGCCAGGAGGCACAGAGAACCCACAACAAAATCAACCCAAAGAAGTCCACACTAAGATACATAGTAACTAAAAAGGTAAAAAGTAGTGATAAAGAGAATTTTTAAAAGCAGCAAGAGAAAACGGTTACATACAAGGGAAACCCCATAAGGCTATCAGCTGATTTTTCAGCAGAAACTTTGCAGGCCAGAAGAGAGGGCATAATACATTCAAAGTGCTGAAAGGAAAAAACCTGCAGCCAAGAGTACTCTATCCAGCAAGGCTATCATTCAGAATAGAAGGTGAGATAAGGAGTTTCCCAGACAAATGTTAGAGGAATTCATGACCACTAAGCCAGCCCTACAAAAAATGTTGAAGGGAACTTTTTGAGTGGAAAGGAAAGGCCTTAAGTAGGAGTAAGAAAAGCAGGAAGCCCAGAGGCAGTAAAATTAAGTATATCTATAGAAATGAGTCAAGGGATTCACAAAGTAAAAAGATGTAAAGTAGGACACCATATACTTAAAATTGGAGTGGGGAGGAGAGGAGTAAAGAATGGGTTCAAACTGAAGTGACCATCAACTTAATATAGACTGCTATATGCAGAAGATGTTATTTGTAAACCTAACAGTAACCACAAATCAAGAGCCAGTAATAGATATGCAAAAAACAAAGAGAAAGGAATCCAAGTATATCGCTAAAGAAAGCCAGCAAACCACGAGAGAAAAGAGCAAGAGAAGAAAGGAACAGAAAAGAACTACAAAAACAACCATAAAACAAGTAACGAAATGGCAAGAAGTACATGTGTATCAATAATTACTTTGAATGTAAATGGACTAAATGCTCCAAACAAAAGACACAGGTTGGTGGAATGGAGAAAAAAGCAAAACCTGCTGCCAACAAGAGACTCATTTCAGACCTAAGGACACATGCAGGTTGAAAGTGAGGGTATGGAGAAACATTTATCATGCAAAAAGATGCGAAAAGAAAGCCGGGGAGCAATACTTATATTGGACAAAATATACTTTTTTTTTTTTAAAGATTTTATTTATTTGAGACAGAGAGAGAGATAGAGAGCACAAGCAGGGGGAGCAGCAAGCAGAAGGAGAGGGAGAAGCAGGTTCTCCACTGAGCAAGGAGCCCGATACGGGGCTATGGTCATAAAGATATTCACTGGACTTGAGAAAAGAGTGGAGGACCTCAGTGAGACCCTTACCAAAGAGATAGAAAACATAAAAAAGAACTACTCAGAGATAAAGAATTCAATAACTGAAATTAAAAATACACTAGATGGAATAAATAGTAGACTAGAGGAATCAGAAGAATGGGTCTGTGACCTGGAGGATAGAGTAATGGACAGCAATCAAGCTGAACAGCAGAGAGAAAAAATAATAATAGGGGCGCCTGGGTGGCTCAGATGGTTAAGCGTCTGCCTTTGGCTCAGGTCATGATCCCAGGGTCCTGGGATCGAGTCCCGCATCGGGCTCCCTG